AGCTAAATCCCCAGCCCATCAGGGCATTTGTAAGATGAATCAAAAAATTTCTTCTGGGGTCAGGAAAGTCCTTGTTTGGATTCTCAGCATCACAAAAATTAATTTCTTCCAATGTCTCAAGTGATTTAGCAAGATAGTTGCTCTAAATTCTTTTGTTATTTCTGAAGTTATGCAGTCTTGTTGCTAAACTTTTTATTTCTAACAAATTCTGTATGGATTTGAAGTTTTTGCTATATCTTTCTAGAAATTTATTGACTTCCTTTATCAGTTAATGTATTCGTTCAGTGAATAACTTTTTGATATCAAATGTTGCTATACTTAAATATTGACATTTCAACTGAATTTTGTAATTTTTCCTTTACTTCTCCCTTGGTTACTATCTCTAAAGTCTAGTTAGAAAAAACAATTTGGGGACAAATTTAAAAATCTGTTTTAATCTGTTTATTAATGGCTTGTTTGATTGCTCTTATTCCATCCTTAAGATGGATACTTTGAGCCAGGCATGGTGGCTTATGTCTGTAAACCAGCACTTAGGAAGCTGAGGCAAGAAGATCGCTGTGAACTCCACTAGCGTAGTCTACATAGAGAGTTCAAGGACAGCATGAACTACCGAGCTAGACCCTGTCTCAGAAAAAATGGAGATTTTTTACTGTAGCATTTTTGTTCACTCTTGATTTTCTTTTGTTTTTGTTGGGAGTGCAGGGTTCAGAGAATTCATTCCAGGGCCTGATGCGTGCTAGGCAAGCATTAACTAATAGGCCACATCCCAGCCGCTCTATTTTTCAAATATTGTAAAGCATTTAAGGCCAACCATTGAACCTTGTTATCATTTTGTTTTTAATTTTTTTTTTTAATTTACTCTAGGGGTTGGGGTTGTAGCTCAGTAGTAGAGCATTTGCCACTCTATCCCAGCACCAAAACATATTTATTTTCCCATGAGTTACCAAGATGTATGTTAAATTTCTACAATTTAGATTTTTTTCATTTATTTTTATTATCCTCTAACAAGTAGTTGTGAATCCTTAAAACAGTTTTGCCTGTTTTGGAAGACTGTATAAATTGATTCTGTTTTTTAATGACTGCTTCCACAGAGAATCATGAACATGGAATTTCTCACCTTACTCAATGAATTAATTCTTAATATTTACCACAATTTGTTTATCCATTGCCCATTAACAGACATTTGCTTTGTTTCCAGTGGTTTGCTATTATTAATGATTATTAACATTTTCACAAGTTTTCCTGTTGAATGTTTTCCTTTGTCCTGGACAAAGTGGAAATACTGGGTTTAAGGATAGGTAGATATTTAACTTCACAAAGAGTTGCCAAAATGGTGTTAGGAATTGCATTGCACCAACACTGAGAGCTCCAGTTGTTTATGCTAAGTTTTGAATTAGTCATTCTATCGTGTGTCGTAGCATCTAGCATCTTGTAACAGGTTCCCATCTCCATGGTGACTGTTATGAGCACTTTTTCATCTTCATTAGTTATTCATTCTTTGTGAGGTAGTCAAGATTTTTACCTATTCTAAAGTTGAATTTAAAAAAAAATTGAGTTATGGGTCTATATTTTCTGGAGCCCTTTGTCAGTATATGATTCTGAATATTTCTCTCAGAGGCTGGCCTATTATTAATGATGTCTTGAGGAACAAAAGATTTGTTTTGCTTGTTTTGTTTTGTAGACAGGGTCTTGCTATATAGTTCAGGCTGGTCTTGAACTTGCACTTGCTATGTAATCCAGTAGTCCAGGTTGGCCTCGAACATGAACTTACAGGTGTATACCACACCTGGCTCCTTTTTGTTCTTTTAAGGTTATTGATTTCTTTATCTCATCTAAAGTCTTCTCTACTCACCAAAGACCAATTTGTGTAGTTGTTTTCCCATTTTCTTCTAAAACCTTCATATTACCTTTTATATTTAGATCAATTATCTGTCCAGAGTTTGATTTGGGGTGAGGCAGGAATAGATTTCATGTGGGCACCCACTTGTTTCAGAACTATTTGTTTCAAATACATTTCAACAATGTCGCTTCCTCTGCCAAAAGTAAGGTGACCATATATAAAGATAGTTTGTATTGATTAGTTTTAGTCTTTAGTTAAAAGTTATTCATACTGGTATTTGTTTTTCATGCAGGGTGTCACTGTACAGCCCAAGCTGGACTCAAACTCATGAATGGTCCTGGCTCAGCCTCTCAAGTGCCAGGATTACAGCATATGCCACCACCCTGGCTTCAATTACACTGATTTGTGATTTGTTGTTGTTGCTGTTGTTGTTTTGGTTTTTTGAGACAGGATCTCACTATGTAGTTGAGACTGACCTGGAACTCACTAAAGTAGCGGAGGCTGGTCTCGAACTCTTAGCGATCGTCTTGCTTCAGCCTCCCGAGTGCTGGGATTACAGACAGGCATGCACCACCACGCCCGGCCAATTAGTTTTTTGCGTGTTACACCAACCTTGTACTCCTTTGGTGAGACGTTGTTGTGATGTATTACACTTTTTATAGATTGCTAGATTTTCTAGTATTTTGATTTTGCATCTGTATTTATAAAATATTAGTTTGTAGCCTTGCGATACCTCAAGGTAGAGCAGCAATATGCATTATATATAGCCTCATGTTGGTTGGAAATCTTCCTATCTTCTCTGCTGTTTCTGTACGATTAGTACTAATTTGTCCCTAAATGTTTTAGACAATGTAGAAGTTTTGTTTTTTGTTTTTGGTTTTTTGGTACCGAGCGGGGATCGAACTTGGGTCCTTGTGCTTGTGAAGCAGGCGGTGGAACCACTGAGCTAAATCCCCAGCCCCTAGACAATGTACAAGTTTTATACAATGTACTGGGACAAGACTTTACAGGCAGACTTTAAAGTATAAATGCAATTGATTTTTTACATATACAGGGCTATTAGGACTTCGTATTTCTTATAATTTCGGGGAATTTGTCCATTTCAATTGTAAAATGGTTTAGTCATATCAGTATCCTCTTAATGTCAGTAGGACCTGTACCATAGTACTATTCCATCTTTAATTCTTGACATTCATGTTTTTCTTGATTATTCAAAGAACCAACTTTTGACTTTGGAAAAAGTTCTACATTACACTGATTCCTGCTTAAATTCCTTAATCGTGTTTTTCTTAGCTTCTTCATAATTACATGACTTGAAGTCTCTAGTCTAAGCACTGCTTTAGATGCATCCCAAACACTGATATACTGAGTTCTCGATGTCACATGGACCGAGTTTTTTCTAGTTCCCCTGGGGCTATCTTCGACCCTTTGGTCCCTTTGAAGTGTACGAATACTTGAGTCTTGCCTTCTAGATTTACATTGTTTTGGACTTTTGATTTATACATATATCCTCGAAGACTGAAATCACAGAAAATGTGCTGACACTTGTTCTAGGAGCCACAAGCTGGTTTTTCCTGGTGAACAATTCAGGTGCATCCCACAGCTGGCCAAGTGCAATGTCCCACAGTGCACATGAGGCTAAGGCAGTTGACACTGACACCATCTCGTCTTCAAGTCCACTCCATCCTTAATACAGTGAGCGTTTGCAGTGTTTCCTGTCCCTTCACTTTAAATATGAACTTAGTACTTCTTGGCTGTTGTTTGGCGATCTCTTCCTTCAATTGGGGTGTGTAGTGCACTTACCCTTAATTCAGTGAACATCTTTGGTTTATTCATGGGAGGAAAAGTAGCTTTTATTTCTGCTCTTGCTATTTGTTCCTACTTCACTTGTTACTGTTATTCCTTTCTGCCTTCCTTGGGTTAATCAACTATTTTTTCAGTTCCATTTTGATTATTCTAGCAGCTCAAGCTGTATCTCTGCATTTTTTTCTGGTTACTCTAGGGCAGTGGTGGCAGACCTATGGCCCGAGTGCCACAGCAGGCTATCACTAAAAACTCTAAAAGGTTCACCATCGCTGCTCCAGGGATTATAATATGCATCTTTTTCACAATCTACCTAGTATTATGCTACTTTACACTAAAAGTAACGGCTCTCTTAACAGTATAATTTCATTTTCTCAGTCCATATAAAACAATCCTGGATAGCATGTAGGGTCTCACAGCTAATTAAAAGCTAGTTATTATTTGGCATTCTATTTTTCTGGAGTCAGTATGCAACAGTCTGAGTCCTAGAGCATACCCTCCAGTTAGCCGGGAAAGATTTTGCCAAAGCGCCCAGCGGTATTGATTTAAAAGCTTCATTCCAAGACATTGTACATGCAGTCATGCAGCAATGCATCCAGCACAGGGAGGCTGCTAACAGTGGATCATGCAAACCTTTCCATCCTTTCAGAGTAAGAAAAGCCCAAAGGAACATCTGACTAGTCCCTGAGGTCTGTTACAGTTCCTGCTGGCTTATTAGTCATCATGGAGACCTGTGTTAATGTCACCCAAATGCCCTGACCCCAGTGACAGGAGGAGGCACATCACGTCCTCAGGGAGTCACTGCATTTTGCTCCAGTCCATTCTTCAGGACAGCTGAGCTCCCTGACAAGGCGAAAGGAGCCAAGCACTAAGATGATTGAAGATGCATCAGCATGTCCTCCTGAGTCTAAGCATCATGGCCTAGCTCCTGTACACTTGGTGAGGCCCTGACCAGGAGCTAGGTCCGATGCCCACTTCCAAGCTGAGCAGACAGGAAGGGCGAGTTCCCAGAACCTGCTCAGTCAGGATGCTCAAACATCAGAGCAAAGACTTGAGCTCCTGGGAGAAACCCTCCAATCTACCAAAATTAGTGTGGAGAGATGAGGAATCTACATCTAATTGCAGGAGTCTTAAAGGCTGCCAACTAGGAAGGAAACATTTATGCTCAGAAAGTTTTTTAAAGAAGTTTTCATTGTATTTTGATGAATATTTAAAGTATATAGTAAGATGTTTAACAAGGACTGGTTACCTGTGTGTAGGTTAGAGATACTCACTGGAGTGACACAGTGGCTGTCAGCCACCTGGGGTGGTGACTTCCTCCAAAGCAGGTCAATAGACTTATGTTAAAGACAACATGTGTATTGAAAGTAGCAATTTTATTTGAGTTAAAATTATTTACAAAAACCCAAAGACATACTTCATGAAACTGGTACAAACTATTTTTTCCTGCCGTTGGCTTTTGCTCCAAAGATCACAGCTGAGAAATACTGTATAAAATAAAAATAGGATTGACTTCAGAAAAGTACTCTACTGTTCTAATTTCCAATTGGTAGTATTTACAGAAATATTTACAGTGAAAAAAAGGTTACTTTAAAACTTTAATTTGCAAGTCAGCCTCAAGTACCCTAAAATGCAGAGTTCACTGAGGGTTAAAACACACAAATGCACTGCAATCGGTGAGCTGGGGGTCTCCCTCACCCCTGTCCATACCCCCCAAATCTGCATCTCTATCAGTGCTTGATATTTATTATTTAAAAACAAAACAAAAAAACTGTTAAACACTGAGGTAAATCAATTTGCAAATGATTACCAGTGTAACAGAAAAATGTAGTTCGCCCTGATTGATCTCACCCAAATGTTGTCTGATTCCTTACCATCTGCCACAAGTCAGTTTTACCAAAAATCTGTTCTCTTCCCTAAATCCAATGATTAATAAATATCAATGCATTTAAAAATAATTAAACAAAATATATCTAACTAATTTAATCTTACTGACATTATTTACCAATATGCTCTGTAAAGTTTGCTAAGTTAGCTTTTCTATTCAGGGCAAATAACAATCCCAGTCTTTCCCATGTTACACTGGCATACTGTGTTCTCAAAGGTGATGGGTAGGGCTCAGGAGGGCAGAAGGAAAAAGAAAACGGTTTGCCTGGAATCAGTTACTTCTTTATAGAGTTCCCAACAATCTGCATTATCAAAAATAGGAAGACAATAGAAGGCAGCCACTGCATTAAAAAACATTACAGCTGGCACTGATACAAGAGCCCCAGTTTGTCACTTTATATAAGGAAATATAACAAAGTCTAAGTGGGTAAAAATTAGACTTTCAGCTATTTTCCCCAATACACACCAAACTAATATTTTATGGCTTCAAGTTTTACAAAGTCAATGGAGAAACATGTCACCACTAAAAGGTAATTAAAAGTATTAATGAATGAGATCTCTGAAAAGCCTGTCTTCAGGCCCAATTAAACGAGAAAGGAAAGTGTAACCAGTGATCTGAACAATACAATAAAAATTTGTAATGCTGTGAAATTAAATTCACAAAAAGTGTTCTGTGTGTTCCACAACTGTTTTCCAAACAACTGTTGTATGAATAAAAAAAGGATCTTCTCTAAATCAGCAATTTTAAGGCTTTGCGTTTATGCAATTGATCCTGTCGCTACAGAATATACACGTTATCTGGAAACGTGAATTTCACATTGGTGTTTTAGCTTCCTTACATTTATTGTACTGAACATCAGAAAATATATCTAGAGATCCTCCCTCAAAACCTCACTGTCTCAAGAGCCTCCCTAGCATTAAGTGTAAACTACCCTGGGTTTGTCTATTTCACTAATCCTTTAAAACAGGGCACATCATCTTACAGAATAGTCCCTCAAACTGCTATTTGTTTTCTTGCATCTACAGCTATGACACATTACTGTATGATATTGAATATGGTCATGGTCTCAAAAGAGAAAAATAGTTCAACACCCAAACCTAATCAAGAATAAAAAAATATACTATTAATCCCTTGTGTCTTTGGATTCCATCTAATTTTAAATATAGACAGTAGTTCAGGGAACAACAACCAAAAATTCACAAAATTATTAAAAGCTTTATTTACGATCGGAATCATTCAACAAAAAAGCAAAAGCCAATGAGCCTGAAAAAGGAACTAAGCTGCTATCTAAATGCGCTCAGAACCTCCGACACCTCATCGCTGAGCTGCCCTGCCTTGGCCAGCGCGACAACAGTGGCTCCACACACAGCAGTTGCACTAACAGCAGCACAAAGTCACCCCCTGAACCTGCCTGGAGTGAAGCAAGGACATGGGGAAAGGGGTAGACTCTGCCAGGAAGTGTATTTCAATACTGCATGGATTGTGAGCAGCCTGAACCTTTTCCCTCATTTTTGATAGTTGCAGATTGACGTAGTAACTGTCACTGAGCAAATGCAGAATGCATGACGAAGAGATCAGGTGGTCGTAAAATCCCGATGAATGCTCTTGGTTTCTCTTCAAGGACCTCTCATGATTTTTCTTTGTCTAAGGGTAGCTCCAGCATTCCCGAGCACCTGAAGCAAGGGTAAAGCAGCTAGCAGTGTTCCAAATACTCAATCACTCTAGAGATGGACTTCTGGCCCGTCGTCCCAACAGCACACTGAGAGAAAGGAAAGGAAGATAGGTCAATGTTCAACTTGTAAAGTAGTCATTCAACTGAATGCCACAAATCCAAGTATACTCAAAGTAAATTATGCCTTTTAAAAGCACTTCACCTTAACTGTAATTATCTTGAAGAATTGCCACTATTACCAAAGAGAACCCCTTTCTTCTAATCATGACAGCCACAGGATTATTTCTCCTGTCAATGTACTGACTACATTTCAAACTACATGAGCTAAAGAGAAGCTACTTACAGTAAGATTCATGAAGCTTAGGAATTTTTTGAGCATTTCTGTCATTATGGAAAAGTCTCCTTCTGGCAGGTACTCCCGCACAGTGGTGACATTGATCTGTGGAAGCAGATGGAAAAGCCTTGGTCAGATGGCAGAACCCATAAGACTGAACCTGACCTGGAGGTAGCCTTGGCATGGCCCTGCAGCAGATGTTGACCCTGGCCATTCCTTTTCCCTTTCCACACATGTTCTGTGCCTGCACTTCATCTATGCTGACTCAGTCCTGCCAGGCATGTCCTGATAAGCCCAAGCACTCGGACTGGTTTGGACAATGCACATGATCCAAAGCTGGCCAAGAGGGAACACCTACTTGGGTGGGCAGGGGCCTAAGGGGGATAAAAGCAATTTTCTCCAGAGAGGCCTGCTATAGCTAGGTGTTACTGAACTGTGCAGTACCCAGTTATTGGCTTGTGGCCCCAGGAGCGCTTCTAACAAAGAACACCAGGTGCGAGGACAGAGGACTGCAGCTTAAAGGCATGACAAATGCTTTGACTTGTGCGTCACAGAGGCACTGAGGGACCAACGTCAGCCTCTGCCATCTTACTGTGCCAGGTGAGTGCAGGTTTGTGTTAGCCCCCTTCCCTCCACCCAAAGCCATCTGAACAGACACTCATCAAACAGGAGCTGCCTCTGTAGGCCCAGAGGACTCTACCTTGGGATACACCTTCAAAAATCCATCAAAAATCTGTGAAAGTCTCTATCCTTATAGGCTACCTTCATTTTCACTGAACTTTGTGTTGGTACATTAAATCCTGCTTTTCCTATTAAAAGCACCCTAGCTGGGCCAGGGATTTAGCTGAGTGGTTCCGCCGCTTGCCTCCAAAGCGCAAGGTCCTGAGTTAAATCCCCAGTACAAAAACAAAACAAAACAAAAAAACCACACACCCTAGCTAGCTTTGTTTTCTGCATCTCAAACAGCCTGACAGGCACATCAGTTCTAACACAGGCACAAAAATCAACAACGCACTTCAAAGTTACGCAGTAAAATTTGTAAGAGAATGGAAATACAGATGTCTGTATTTCTTCCACACTGAAGAAATAAACCTGTTAAACAACCCCATACCTCTGCAGAAGCCTTTCTGAAATAAAGCATGCGTACAAGAGGGAAGATTAAAGGAATGAATAATAAATGAGTGAATTAGGTCATGGTACGAGCTGATACAAGATGCACAGAGCACCTCTGGACTTTACTTACTGGGCTTTCCTGGCAGAGACAGCCGAGAAGCAGCGCTGTGTAGGAGGCCACGATGCAGTCCTCCATGTGCTTGCCAGCATGCTGCAGGGCTAGGGGTTGGAGAGCACAGTCAGGATTCAGGAGACAATGCAGATGCACAAGAGCGGCATTGTGTATGTGGTGAGGTTAATATTCAGAGTAAAGAGACAAACAATCACTGAATAAGTGGGCAGTATACTTGAACAAACTTATAAAAGGCCAATAACGCACATGGAGATCTTCCATATTTATCATCAAGGAAATGCAAATTAAACCAAACCATCAGGTACCACACTTCACTTCCAGTAAGATGACTAAAATCATTTTTAAAAAAGGCAATTTTGAGGATTTGGAGAAACTCGAACCCTCATATACTACTGATTGGGAATGCAAAATGGAGCAGTCACACTGAAAACAGTTTAGTTTTCACTAAAACTTTCCTTTGTATATTTTCAAGAGTCTGCAACTATTCACGGTAGCATCATTGTGACAGCTCTAAAAGCAGACAGACAAATCATAAGCACGACGTAGTATAGCGAATTATGAAGTATCACCAGTCATATAAAAAGGGCACTATATTAAGAAAGACAGCTGGATGACTAACTTGGCGTGATAATACAAGGGAACCACCTGCTACAGGAAGAAGGAATACAATCCTGACCCATACTACAGCAGGCAGCTGACTGAAACAAGCCTGTCACGTAACAAGGTCACAGTATGGTTTCTTTCATATAAATGTTCAAAATAGGACAGGATCACCAGGGATTAGCTCAGTGGTGCCGCCACCTGCCTTACAAGGGCAAGGACCTGAGTTTGATCCCTGGTACCAAGAAAAAAAAAAAAAAAGGACAGGATGCAGAATAATGGTTGTGGGAGGAGAAAATAGAGGTGATGGCTACCAATAGGTTTGCGGCATCTTTAGGGCTGATAAAAAAAATATTTGGCATTAGAGAGTGATGGGGGATATACAATTTTGTAACTATAAAATTCTGACTAAAAACTTCAGTATTATTTGCTTTAATTTAAAAAGGAAATTTTAGGGCTGGGGATTTAGCTTAGTGGTTCTGCAAGTGCAAGGACCAGAGTTCGATCCCTGACCCTCCCCAAACAAACAAACAAACAAATAAATGAAATTTTATGCTGTACAAATCGTATCTGTTTTTATTACTATTTTTTTTTTAAACTGCTAAACAACCACAAATGTCACTGAGAAAAAGGAAACATTTCTTAAGAACAGAAATTTCTTCTAATACCATAACTAATGGCATTTGATCTGAGGAGGACTGGGCCTAATGGAGAGAAAAAGGCTCAGAATCAGATACTGAAGAGGACTGCTTCCTAGCTAGGAGAAGCTGAACACATTACCCAAATTTCATACCCTCAAGGACCTGCAGTTCCAAACCACTGTTCTACAGAATCTGTATGAATGGTAAAACAAGTATCAATTCCTGATGACAGCAGAATATTCATTAAGTGTTTGCCTAGTGAAGATACTACTTAGTGTTATTTCTTGTTGTACCAGCCACCAAGTACTTATGCTCTGAGGACTTACCATTGTGACTTATGTCATTTTCAAGTGTCTCTGTTAGAAGAATCTAAAAAATGCAAAGCTAGAAAAACCATACTGTCCACTGTGTACTCTTTACAGATGAAGGAAGAGAGGAGACAGGATGAAAGGGAATAACTAGTCGTCTCTTTCCCACCACCAGTGTGCAGGACTTCACAGGCACCTTGCTCGTTCTTGGGAAGAACTACAAGTACCAAACTACCAAGCTTCTCTGGACAGAACTAAGGGAGGTCTTTCTTTAGACAAACAGGCAGATTCTGACAAGATATGAATAAAATGTTTTGAAGAAGAAACCAAAATCACACCATTCTTCTTAACCTGAATATACTCAAATGTACTTTAAGTATACATACCTTTATTGAGGTCAAGTTCTTCATCGTCCTCCTCCTTCTTGTGTTTCTCTTCTGCACTGTCTGTCTTCTCAGTTGACACCCACTGTATCTCCCCACTGGTCTCTTGCCACTCTCCGCTCTTATCATGCTGAGTGGTGGGTGCATCTTTGATCAACTCATCTGTTTTACTTTCTGCCAACTGAGCTGCTCGCTCTCGCTCAAGGAATAGCTGACAAAAAATGAATTTTGAAGAGTGTTAAAGATATCACCAACCAACATGTGTATACCTAGTATTTTGCTTTACATAATAAAGGGGTTGTGGCTGGGGGCTATAGCTCCATAGGACAGCACCTGCTTAACATGCCCAAAGCCCTAGGCTTGATGCCTAGCACTGACCCCTGCGCCCTCTGTCTTGTCAAAAGGGTGGGCTCAAGTGACAGCTTGTGCTTGCCATCCTCCTGAAGCCCAAAACAAGAGTAGAGATGCTGCTGGGATTCATTCAAGTAATCTGCAAATGATACAAGTATTATTTCCAAGAATGAAAGCCTTGGTATATTTCTTTAATGAGAGGAGATCCAAGCAACACACACACACACACACACACACACACACACGTACATACATACATACATATATACTAAAGCAATTAAAACAAACCAACCTAGGCATGCTGAATGAATTAAATGGAAAAAAATCCAGAGTAAACCTAAACAGAATTAGGGGAAATGTAACATGGCATCTTTAAGAGATATTTAAAGACATAAAATAATCAGTCAAAGTGAAAAGCAAAAGGTCTCAGAAAAAGGTACATAGGGAAAACAATACTTCCTGAGCATTAAGTTCCTCACCTTTTACTTCTTTTACTTTCCCTATGCTGCTACAGTGCTGAACAATCAGGAAGTATCTAATATGCCCACTGACGTAATTTGGGGTAACCCAAGGTACAAATAAGAACAATATGAAAAAGCCAACACCAAGTATACTACAAAGATATGCCAAGTATATAGAAGAGGGGTACATACATTTCACAGGTGGCACATATAAGACAATTCCCTTGAGAAAATAAGACAGCAGCTCTCAAAATAGTCCAAGAATCTCAGGGAATCCCCAAGACCCTACCAGGTTGTCTGGGAGGGTGCCTGCCGCTCATTCTGTCAGAGGCCAGCTACTTCTAAGTCTCTGCAAGTGCACAGTGGAGTTCTGTAGAATCTACATGCCATGTAATTAATGCCACTGCCCAAATGGCCAGTGTGATTTTCCTCAGTTTTCTCATTTAATAAATATAGATGGGTATAGCACAGTATGAACAGAAACTTCCTGGGTTTTCCAATAGTTTCTAAGAATATAAGAAGTCCTGAGATCAAAATGCTTGAGAGGAGAATGATGGATTTCTCATGACTCAGGAAAGAATCAGGTTGCAGATGGCTTTCTGAAGCTGTAACTTTTAAGCATTACTAGTTTTTAAAAGGCCAAAAATGAGCTGGGAGTGGTGGCATAGCAATTGGAAGGCTGAGGCAGGAGGATCGTCCCAAGTTTGAGGCCAACTTCAAACCTCAGGGCTACCTATTGAGTTTAAGACCAGCCTGAACTACATAGCAAGACTATTTCCAAGATGAAACAACAACAACAAAAAAATTCCACTGTTTTTTCGAGACATTTTCAAAATGCTATTAAATGCCCTGTAAAAAAGGTTATCTAAGAAACTTGAAATGATAGTTATTTTAAAAATTATAATGCCAAATGGTGGGCATCTAAAGAAACAAGGACTCAGTTCTGAGGAGGAGTTTTTAGGGAGAAGTATAAAATGAGGGGAGAGGAAACAGTATTTGGTGATCTGGTGGGTATCAATTTTAAATGCATCTACTTAGAACACCGTAACTCCCAAGCCAAGAAATTACCATTCCCTATCCCTACTTTGGAAAAATGTGATTTAAGATTTAGAGTATTTGTCCCTGTAATTTCTGTAACAAAAGAAAAAAGAACCACACAAAATATTTATCAAAAGGCTAGTTAATAAAACTGCTAACTGGTATTGTAGTCATTACAAAGAATTGGGATAAACCTGTGTTGACCTAAAAAGCTCAGGAAGACAAAGTAGGTAAAGTAATATACAAAAAAAGTTCTCTTAATATTTTCATAATACAGATGTGGTATGAAACAGTGACCTCGGTCAATGATCATGTATTAAAAAGATGTCCCTTGCATATTTACATAATTTATGGTGCACTTTATTAACATGTTAAAAAGTAGTATACATTAATCACTGTATAGTTTCACTCATGTAAAAATTATTCACATTTGTGTTGATAAATGATGCATAAACACTAATTTCTCTGGGCACAGAACTGTTACAAAAATTAACTTTTTAGGAAATGGACTTAGGCATTTTAAACCTTTGTGAATGAGATTTTTAAAATATGGATGTAAATATATATATATATGTGTGTATATATAGATGTAAATTATTTTTTATTTTTAAAACAAAAAGATCAATTAATTCTTAAAAAGCAGTTCAGAATGCCTAGAAAGAGAAGTTCAGGTTAGTAGTCAGAACTATTTAATTTGAAAATAACTGGGACAAGATCATTGTTAGCAGTATAGGACATCAATCTCAACATTCATGTTTTCTATCTCTTTAAGTATTATAATTACTAGCCATTTCTTGATACTGGAGTGTAAGACAGCAGTTTTCTAAAAGGGCAATGGCAAAACTCATCACCTGAAAGGTACTAAAGTCTAAAATCAAAAACTTTATATGGACTGAATAAAAAGCAACAAACCCTAACAAGTAATGGAAAGCCGGAAATGATACAGGATGGTACCCTAGAAGACAAGCAGCTTTCACAACACACCATGTACAAAGAGGAATATTGGGTTTGATGTAACAAACACCATGTGAATTATCAGGTGACTTTGACACCACAGAAAAATGTGCGCTGGCGTGTGGGGCAGCATCTGCAAATTTACCCTTCCCACAAGTGAAAAGCTGAGCAGGCAGCTATTTCTTCAAAGTGCTGGGCCATCCTCTGAGGTCTCATTTGTCTGGGTTCTATTTGAACAAGTCAGTTTTTAAAAGGCAGGGACCAAAATGTTACAATCATACAAGGGGATTCTACTGAGCCCAAAACGGGTGAGCTACTAATACACACAATGTGAACAGACCGCAAGGACACAGTCTTGTAAGAAAAGCAATCCCCAAAGGTCACAAACCATGGGATCCACTTATGTAACATTCGCGAGGAGCCAGTACCACACAGATGGAGATGAGACTACTGGGCACCGGAAGGTGAGCTGGGGAATGGGGAGCACAAAGGAATTCTTCTGTAAGGATGGATGGCTCTGTGTATTAATGTAATGGTGGACGTATGAATCTATGGGATAAAATTGCACAGAAATTACCTCTATACTGTATATATACCACATTACACATGCATGAAGAAACATAGATTAAAAAGGGTGAAACCAAGTAAAGTGCGACATTCAGTTATCAATAATGCACCAATGCTCATTTCTAGGTTTTGATTTTACGCTACAACTGTATGTCCATTAAAGGAAACTGGGATTCTTTGTAATACTTTTATTCAGGGAGCCTATAATTATTTCAAAATATGAAGTTATAAAAAACAAGTTATATAAGAAGAAATTGCTTCTTTTGGAAAATAAATGTGTCATTGAGCTCTTTTGAAAAAGTGCCAAATGTTTTCAAATGTTTTAGCATTAAATGAACCCTTAAGTGATACCTGAAGAGCAAAATTAGTCTGCTAATACCAAACATTGCTAGTAATTACTAGTACTGTTTACTATCACTGTTACTGATGAGTAACTTCACAATGTTTCCCTAGTTTCATAATTAACAAGTTTTAAATAACTGAAGACTAAAATTCAAGATACCTCAAGACAGTATTCTAAAGCTTATGCAAAAGGTCTGTGGCTGATTTTTTTTTTTTATATGTAATAAAGACAGCAAGACAGGATAACAGAAAATAGGACTTTAAATGACTCAGTACAATATCTCCTGCCAGTATCTCCCAGATCAGTCACTCTGCCACTTTCTGGAACTGGCCAAGAAATAGGTAATGAAGGGCTTCCAGTTCTTCTGTGGTCCACGGGGCCTACAGCATTTTCAACTCAGATCAGGCCTCTAAGTAAATGCCAGTGCACTTCAACTAGATGGGATGGGGCCAGATTCTCAATTTTTACCACTAGTCTACTTTGGTTCATAAACAAATGTGCTTTGTCTCTGGCTTTTTGCTAACAATGCTTAAGGAGAAACAGCAGTTGAGAACCTCTCAACAACAGATCTTACTCATCTGAAGAGAAACTGTATCTTGGGGGCGGTACTGGGGATCGAACTCAGGACCTTGCACATGTGAGGCAGGCGACAGAACCACTGAGCTAAATCTCCGGCCCTCACATTTTTTAATTGGTTAAGATTCTGGTTTAAAATAAAGTTTCATCCTAGGAACTATGAATACTTAATACTTGGTCAGGTCGAAAAGACATTCCTCCCTAATGAACATTCTTTAGTTCTAAACAACAAAAAAGGAAAGAAAGAGGGTGGAGGAAGTGATGACGAATGAAAGCAGACTAGGAGGCCAGCCTGATTTCCAAGCTGCTACTCACCTGCACTAGAGCCTGCACGGCATGTACTTGCCCAGCTACCCTTAAGCTATCGTCTCCCTCTCCACTGCAGAAGGAAGAATCAAAGGAACAGGATGTTTCCATGTTGACGAGGCAGTGCCGGTTCCGGGCGCTGTACTCCACTAGATTTATTAGTAGACCCAAGCCCTACAAAAAAGTTGAAAGATGTGCATTACCACAGATGAGCACTTAAGAACCAGAAATGTAATGGAATGATTAATAGCTAAAAACCTAATCAGGAGTCGGGGATTTAGCTCAGTGGTTCTGCCACCTGCCTCGCAAATGCAAGGTCCCAAGTTCGATCCCCGGTACCAAAAAAACGCAAACCAAAACAAAATCTAATCAGCATTTTTCCATTAGCAAAATGGTCAAACACCATTACAGATGTAAGATACTGGTTTTCCAAAAGAATGATTCCTATGTTTGTTTGTTTTTTTTTTGGGGGGGACCAGGGATCAAACTCAGGACCTTGCACTTGCGAGGCAGGCACGGTGCCACTGAGCTAAATCCCCAGCCCACCTAAAGGTTTTAAACACCTATAGGTTTTTAATATTTTAACAAAGAGGTAAATGAAAATATGAGAAATATGTTCATAAGGAATTTGTTAAAAACAACTCAAAATACATTAAATCCCGATTCTTGACCCCAAACTGAGATGACCTTTAGATCACCTACATAGATAAAACACTTCCCAAGCCACCCTTGGCTCACCAGCACCCGAAGGTCAAATCTCTGCTCCTGAGGTAGGTACTTTGGGACCTGCAGCACACAGTTCATGGCTGTGCCAATGAGGCCATCCTGTTCCCCTGTTTTTGTGCTACCCCACTCTGAAATGAGAAAGGGAAAGTGGACAGGTATTAGTGAGCCTTCTTGGTGACACCAACAATTGGATTTGCTAAAACAGACATGAATTTCCAACTGCATGCCCATTCCTTTACTGAAATACATGGTGACATTAGGCCAACTTGTCAGACTGGATCTAAGAGGATCGATTCCTAAAAGTAACTTGGACCTATAGGAGGAAGGCAAAACATCATGGAAATCTTAAAAAGCACAGCGCTGAAAGAAGACACAAAGGGAGCTCCCTGTGTTCTCTGTGCATCATGTTGTGCTTGCATGGGAACACAGGACACACCATTGTCGTTAGTGAGGTTGAGTAGCACCCCGATGATGGCCCGCATGCAGTCCTCCACTGCCTTTCCCACATGGCTGGTCACGTTCTGGGGAGGTAGAGGCTTGCTATCAGCCACACAGATGCTGTTCTCAGCGCGATTATACTGCTGGATCAGTTCCTCACAATGCTGTAATGCTCTGAAGAGGAAAGAAACATATACTATTGTGGCAAACAACAAGTTATACAACACACTTCTATTTCTTGGGCTAAAAGCTGTCAGATTCTGTTTTTCTACTCTGGAAGTTAACTATTCAATGATTGCCAAATACGTCTTTGTATCACACTAGATGTTAAATGTCATTTTACTTTGGAGAAATTTGATAAGTAAACAAAATTTCTCCAAGGAAAGTTAAAATTAAAACTTAAGGCATGCCAAACATGGTGGTAGTATGCCTACAGTCCCAGCTACTAAGGAGGATAAAGCAGAAGATCCCTTAATCAGGGCTTCAAGGCCAACCTGCGCAACACACTGAGACTCTGTCTCAAAAACAAAAAGCCCTCATGGCATGTACATGGGGTGGCATACACCTGTAATCCCATCATTCTAGAGGCTTGGAGCAGGAGGATCACAAGTTTTGAGCCTGCCCAAGGCAACCTAGAAACTTAGTGAGATCTTGTCTCAAAATATAAAACAAAAAAGTCTAGGGATACAGTTCAGTGCCAAGGCCCTGGATTCAATCACCAATAATACAAAACACACACAGTGCTGGCAGAAGTTTACATCTGTACTACCTACGCCAGTTTCCTTGCATTTTACAGACTGCTCCAACCCAAAACAAGTACCTGATATGCATTCGAGTGAATCATTTTTTAACTTGGGGTCATTCAAAGTGACACATCTCTTGGCAGCCATACAAAGGTTAGGACCTACATCCAAACATTCTCTAGATTCTACTAAAAATAACAAGAAAATAGAATCCTTAGGTAGGTCCCATATTTCCAAAGGCTTTATTTTTTTAAAATGCAATAATAGAGATTGAACCCAGGGCTTTGAAACTATCTCCAGTCCCGCCCCCATTTGAAACAGGCTTTCACTAAATTGCCCCAGCTGGCCTCAAACTTTCAATCCTCCTGACTCAGTGCAGTCAGGGATTACAGGTATGCGCCACCATGTCCGGCTCTGAAGACTCTCTTTAAACCACCAAGTCTATTACTATGATTACTATTGTTTGAACTGGGGATTGAATCCAGGGTTTTACTTTGGTAATGCTTCTAGTGCAGTGGTGGCGAACCTATGGTACATGTGCTGCAGTGAACTGTTTGTATCACTGGAAAGTTCTAAAAGGTTCACCATCGCTGCCCTAGTAGAACCGAGATCAAGTGAGCTGAGTTGGCCAGTTTAGTCTGCATGTGTCATACACCACATACATCTCTTATGTAAAACTACCAGGTTTGACCCTTTCTTATCTGCCTATCCTTTTTCTTTTTAGACAAAGTCCTGTTGGGCAGTTCAGGCTAGCCTTGAACTCATGATAATCCTCCTACTTCAGCCTCTGGAGTGCTGGAATTACAGGCCTAGCTTAGCAGCCTGCTCTTTAATATAAACTGAGGAAATCCCATATGGTCCTTCCTAACAATTTATGACTCTTTGGTCAAAAAGTCATTCCTCATGATGTCTAACCTAAAACAATTCATTCTTCTGATGCCTGGGGATGTTGACAGAATTATCCTGTTACCACTGAGAACTCAAGTATCTTAAGCAGCACGGAGCTAACTGGTTTTGAAGGAGGAGAGTTAACAGGTACCAACTCTGGGTCATGCTATGCCTACATCTGTCATGGTTCCACTGAAAACCACAACAGCCTCCCAACTGCTAAAATTACAGGCATGCATCACCACGCCCAGAGAAAAAGGTCTTTTAAAATAAAACACAATATGTATATTTTTATATGTGACTTTAAATATTAAAAAATTTAGAAACAGAGAATCTACAACACATTTACTACCAGAATAGTCCTTGGTGAAGGAGGGTAATACATGGTAACAAACAAAGGAAATGAATGTGTGAGGGTACTTATTATGTGCACAGAATTTACAAAAACAAGACAAAAAGGAGACAGAGGTAATACGACACCTGAACTTATTTCAAATTGTGGTTAAGAGGAAGGATAAAGTCATAGATACAAACTCAATCCTATCTTCTGCATCTGAAATTCTGTCCTTGAATTGGCTTATTCTTTTTATTTTCTGGTACTGAGGATCAACTCAGGGCCTTGTGCTTGTTAGGCAGGCACTGTGCCACTGAGCTAAATTCCTGGTCATTATTACACTATTTTGTCTACGTCTAAATTAGAAACTTTCCAAAATACAAGGTTAAGAGATAAATTAGCTGGGGATTTAGCTCAGTGGTTCCACTGTCTACCTCACAAGCACAAAGACCTGAGTTCGATCCCCAGTACAAAAAAAAAACAAAAAAACAAAAAAACCCCTGAACCTTCAGGCCAGGGACAAGGACCTGAAAAGTGTCAAATGGAGTGACACAAAGAAAACCAAAAATGGCAAAAGAGAGATTAACTTGAGTTAGACCACACTAGGCCTTCCTGTGATAAAGAAATTAGACAGGGGCTGGGGATTTAGCTCAGTGGTTCGGTGGCCTGCCTTGCCAGAGCAAGGACCCGAGTTCAATCCCCAGCACCAAAAAAAAAAAAAAAAAAAAAAAATTGCAAATATCTCAATAAAAAAAAAAAAAAAAAAAAAAAAAAAAAAAAGAAATTGTACATATCCAAAGAGAACAAGGAATCACAGAAGCTGCGGTTTCAGGTTCTTTCTCCAGGGGTGACCTGGAGAAAGTTAGCTCCCTGTGGTACTGTGCTGGCGAAGCGAAAGTGGCAGAGAACTAGGGCAAAGATAAAAACCAGGACAGAGCTATCAGGACGATGCTGCTGAAATGAGACAGAGGCAGGACTGGCAATGCCCGTGCACTGAGGTGAGAGCATTAGCCTGACTGTGATGAGGGCAGCGCAGGGAAGGCACACATGTGGAAAGCTACATATAGAGAGACCTGGAGAATGGACAGAAACACAGGACAGAAGAAGAGCACTCACAACCACCACAATAAAAAGAGAATAGTTTACTACACACCATGCATCCACCTTTCTGGACCTTATATATTAATTCAATACAAATAATAGGCAAAGCGTACTTTAAAATTGTTCAAAATCTATTTTATATACATACATATTATTCATATATATGTATACCCAAAATGTATTTCTGTATTACACATTAACAGATATTACCAATTCACTTCATGGTAAGCATTGCCCTAGGAGGGCAGCTAAATTACCCATCTTATAAGGCACTTGCAGCAACTAAGTGGCATGTCTGTGGTTACACAGCAGAAATTACTATGCTAGAATCTACACCCAGGTATTCTGGCTCTAGACTATAAAAGCTCAACTTTTACTCTATGATGTACAAGAATTCACAGAACTTAACAGAGGATTTTTAAAGAGTAAGGTAATAAGACCTTATTTCCTTTATAACTTGAGATTTTAGAAAAACTTACTTAGCTGAGGAAATAATGAGCTGTGAATCTTTATATGCTATCAAGTAGCTTTGATTCTCTGGATTATGCACTGTTACCTAAAAGAGAAGAACATTAAACAATTATGACAATCCATACCTTTTATTCATTTAAGTAACACCACACTCTACCTTATTAAATTCCTTGTCATCTAGGAAACAGTTCCAAATGCAAAAGGTTCCAGATTAAAAAGAACAGAGCTATTAATTTATCATAAAATTATGTCACTGTCATAATTATAACATATCCTTTATTAAGAATTCTGAATATTAGAAATCCCCAATTTATAGACTAATACTTTAAAGTTTATAACTATATTCATTTATTTGTGGTAGCAGGGATTGAACTCGGGACCTTGTGTTTGCAAGGCAGGTGGCAGAAGCACTGAGCTAAATCCCTGGCCTATATAACTGTATTTATTTAGTATATGTATTTCTTTTATAGAGAGTATCTGTGATCTAATATATCCAAAGCATCCTAGAAAACAGAAGGCACAATTTTATGTTAGGAGTTCCTGCAGATGTTTGCAAAAGTACGTAGCTAATCCAACCTAATCAACAAAAACTACACATGTTGAAATTTACTGGCAATAAAAACCTAACCTATACTGAAATAGGTTAAGTTATTCATAAAAGCCAATGAATAAAATAGACTTACGGCAGTATATTACTATAAATTATGACTACCATCTGACTTAAATAAAAGCTAAGTGAGGGCTGGGGATTTAGCTCAGTGGGACTGCACATGCCTTGCAAACACAAGGTCCCGAGTTCCACTCCATCCCTGGTACCGCAAAAAAAAAAAAATCACTCCCTGCTAGGTGTTGGTGGTACATGCCTGTAATCCCAGCACTCAGGAGGTAAGGGTACAAGAATAGTTACAAGTTCAAGGCCAGCCTGAGCTACATAGTGAGAGGCTGCCTTAAACAATCAATCAACTATTCTTGAGGCACTGGGTTCAACAATCACACACACACACACACACACACACACACCCTAATCCTGATTTTGTTCAACTATTGTCTTTTGCAAAAAAGTTAAAGCAGCTAAGTACAATTCCACATTATGCAAAGAACAATAAAGTTTGGTATACATTAATAAACCAAACATGTAATGTTTCACATGGAGCAATAAAAGACATATTTAAAATAATAAAATGTTCACATGTTTATTGTTTTTTCTCTTGAGGCAAGGTTTTGCTACATAGTCCAGTCTGGCCTCAAACTCTCCAGTGATCCTTCTGCCTCAGCTACCCAAGTGCTGAGATTACAGGTATATGCCATCACACCCAGCCAAAATGTTCATTTAAATCTTTCATTAATAACTGGTTGCTCATGAAATGCACAAAATTTTAATTTGAATTAACAAAAGCAGAACTCCAGGGATATATAAAATATGTGGTGGTTATACACAACAATCACAAATAAGACTGAATGAATGACTTGGGGGCTGGGGGTGTAGTTCAGTGGTAAAACACTTGCTGGTGCACACGAGGTACCAGGTCCAAACCCAGCACCAGAAAAAAGAAAAACAGGTCAAATAACTTCCACAAAATCGCTGTCCATACTTACACTTTCTAAAACTCGTAAACATCTCTCTGCTCCCCATAACGAGGCTACCAGTTTTTCTTCATCCTCATCTCTACTTAAGTGATCCACACACTCTTTGACTAAGTAAAAAGAAATGGAATCAGTTAGTTTCTTAATGCCTCAGTACTTAGCCCTCAGTGAACCTAACTATGAATGTGCTGCAATCTCAGAGAGCATGATTTCTTCTATGTCAAATACTAGAAGACTGAAATGTATGATACTATACTTCCATAAACTCTCAATGTCAAAGCATTAATAGTTTCTACTTTAAAAGTTAGATTTGCAAGACGCAAGATGCTATTAAAAGACCTTTTCAAACTGAAAATATTATTTTTGAAGTTTACAGACATGGTTTTTATTCATGCTTTAAATATGTGAAAACATTATATAGTCCATATCCATACCTTTATCTACAATATGATCCAGACCACCCAAAAGCCGGAGTTCTTCTTTAAACCAGTCTCCTGCTCGTTTGGAAGTAAGGGATAGCAATGTCTCCATAGCTAAATGCCCAGTCTAAAAATTAGAAGCACATACAACACTTATAAACACTGATTCTCAGTAATAATTCTAAGGCAACAATTTGAGAGACTGCTTTTTGTTACAAAAATCCACTGCATGCTACTAGCACATAGTTTGTTTTTTTAGTCGAACAGTAAGTACTCCTGCAAGTGAAAATGAGCCATTTTTTATTAAAACAGTCTAAATGGAAGAAATGCTTTTCACTACATGTCTTGTTTTCATAGAATAAACTTGTTATTTAGTCTTTTTGTCAGCTGAGTGTAATATACACTGGCACTGTTATTTCTACCATATGAGGCCCAAACATAGGGCTACTGAATCAAAGCATCCATTTTCAATGTACTGGGCTGATTCACCAGTGAAGATGCACAGGGAAGTAACTTCCTGGGAGCAAGGTGTGGGAAGTGCCAGTTGCCCTTAATATTCAGGACCCAAAGTCATGACTTCATACTGGCAAAATGCACAAAATGTTCACCCACTGGCTTATATCCTTCTGACAGCAGTAAATATGAGCATTTTTCCTATCACTGTTTATTAGTTAACAATATTTCCACTTTTTTTTTTTTGGTACCAGGGATCAAACTCAACCATATTTCCATTTTGAGCTCTTGTTCTTATTTTCTGGCCAGTTTCCTGTTTTTCTTATCTATTTTAAATACAAATGCTTTGCTCACTTTGGTATTGCAGACCAACCAGTCTTAAACTTTATTGTGCGGGGTTAGCAGCCTGGACACTCTTCAAGTGGCTATGGTGACAAAAAATTTACTGTATTTAACTGCATTCAAGCACACTTTTACTAAAGTGTTGTGGTCACCGCTAGAGGGAGCACAAAAGGTTAAGAGCCATATTTAAAATCCAGGTTAATGTTCTCTTATTTCACCTCCTAACAGCATGCAGATGCTTCCCAACAAACAGCAATCTGGTTCTCGGTGTAATAAAGGAACTTTTGCATAACAGAAGAAATGCTTTAATTAGCAAAGCCTTAAAAGACCTGGTTTTCTTTCCAAAGCTTCTGCCCTTCAAAAGATGCAAATTTATATCCTGGCCTATATTATATTTGGAACAGAATATAAATTAGATATTCAGAAATATAAACAACAGATCTTACCAGTAAAAAATCTTAGTATTACAAATTTAGAAGAGGAATCTAGAATATTTTATTCCACTTCTTAAAAAGTTGTTGTCCAAGGTGTCAGGTACAGAACTAGAATTCAATACTACAAAAACAGATTCACTGTGTCCATGTCTCATTCTAAGCCCATCCGAGAGGAATTTAAAGACAAATTTACTACCCTAGCTCAGTCAGGTGTACAAGCCAACTCACAGCAGTGCGGTGGATGCCCACAAAGGCACCCCGGTTAGGATAAAAAGGTATAGGAATTTAGCACAAATATAGTAAACACTCCTCCAAATTTTTGTTTAAAAAAACACTTTATTGTCTGTTTCTATTGGCATAAAAAATTGATATTTTATCTGATCTTCAGTATTATTAGATAGCATTTTAAAAGTCTATTAAGCATTTTATTTGAAAACTGAAATATATCACTAATCAGAATACTACTATGTAACTGTGTTAGCTTAGTTATTTAAGTTGTATCTGATAATATTATATTACTGTTTAAAATTATCTTCCCGTGGGCACATTAACAACATCAATATATTACAAGGGATAAGCTAAGAAATTCATATAAAAACAAAATATATAGGGGCTATTTTTTGAGCAAAACAACTTATGAAATATGTGCTGTACAATTTAAAACAAGCTGAGGGGATGGGGGAGACATCCTAAAATTGGCTCCCAGCTACCTGGTGTGAACTACGAATAAATGTGGTTCAATATTTAATACACTGTAGGTCAGTCTTTCTACTGATATCTAGCATCCCAATAAATTCAAATGAAAAGTTTATCATTATGTTAACAGCAAACACCTGAAGTGAACTTCAATATTGAACAATATGGATGACAAAAAACAGAAGTATATTAAATTATGTAGCAAGTAAAAATTACAGGTTTAAATTTATTCTTACATCATTAAAAACTAGTAGAGATAAAAATATTAAGAGTAGATAAATAAAAACAAGTTTTAGGGATGGTGATTTAGCTCAGTGGTTCCAGCACCTGCCTCGCAAGCACTAGGATTAGAGTTCTATCCCCAGAACAAAAAAAAAAAAAAACAGCACTCAGGAGGCTGAAGCAGGAGGATCACCTTAAGTTCAAGGCCAGCCTGAGCTACATAGTGAGTTCAAGGCCAGCTTGAACCACAGAGCAAGACCCTGTCTCTAAACAAAAAACAAAAAACCAAAGGACGGTATTCAGATAGCTTGGTGGTGTGGCCAGATCTCTAATATGCCATTTAAGCACTATTCCCCCAACTCTAAGTACAAAGCACTGAACACATGGCAGTTTTGCACTTACCTTTATAAAGTTAGTCTCCTCTCCTCCCACTCTTCTCCCTTACCCAAATCTTATTAACAACTCTACTTTAATTAGAGCAACAGCCCTCAGCAATCTCTGGCTAGCACAAAGCATTCTATAAATTTTTGTGGCAAACACTTTAGTCTTCAGTTATGCAGGCAAGAGAAAAATGTTTCAGATTTGCAAATCAGGTTATATAACATTCAATCTTATTTTTAAAAAACCTCTAAATCACAGACCAATTTACCTTTTACTGGCCTAGTAGCCACTGAAATATTATTGATTCTATGATTAAAAAATGCTAACAAAAGTGGAACGCGAATGAAGCAAAACCAACACATGGGTACCAGCCATGGCCCTATTAGTGAGGCACAGAGCTTAGGAAAGGCAGGTGGCTAGGACCCTTCCTCTGAACGAACCTTCATTGCTGCTGAGATTCCTTGAAGCAAGTTAGTCAGATACCCCACAATACTAGTCTGGGAGAAGCAAAAACTTGCTTTTCTCAGACTACTGGCCTTTTTATTCCTAAAATGCACAGAGTATACAAATTAAATCTAACATCCTGAAGGTAGAGGGAAGAGGAGAAATCAAGGGCAAAGGTTTAGGCAAAATGCAAAAAGACACATATTTATTGGCAATAAAGCCAACCAAACAAAACTACCCCTAAAACCCTCAATACAGATGAACCAGTTTAGGGATTTTAGGAAGGGAACATAATTGTGCCTTGAGTTAAACCTTAGAAAAACACGCCAACCTGTAAATCAAGGCTAGGAGGTTGAAGGACTTGTCCCAAGTCACAGTCACCGTGACTAGCCCAAGATTTTCTGAAACAAAGTCTCATTTTATAATGGAAGCAGAACTCACTGTTATGTTTTCTAGATCAAGATGCTTATTGTGTACAGTTTCACAGAGTCTCCGGATTTTCTCTTTAATTTTGTTCATGTCCTTCTCATTCAGCAGCTTAGCCGACGATGCATCCTGTTCCAGCTCCAGAAGTCGGATCATGAGATCTAAGCTAGCTCTGTCAAGATCCATGTTCAAGCGGTCCCGACTCAGGATATACATGAGGGCAGCTGTACAGAGGGACAGGTTCTTCAGAGGACCAGAAAAGACAAGAAAAGGTTCATGTAAGCAAGCACTCACAATCTCAAGAAACAAGACCAAAGCTGATGACGTTAGCATTTGTTTGCAAGTTAAAATGCCTAAAACTCATGCTGCTGACCGTGTTGGAAACCTTGAAAATGCTTGATTCAGTGGCCTCTCTATAAATATTCGAGGGAAACACAATCAGTAAATGAACAAAGCACTGGCTATTTCTTAGAAATTTTCCTTTCTGTGCACCTTCCCTACACAAATAACCAAAATTGGAAGAAAATAAGCCAAATAATATATTTCACTGATAATTTTGTGCTATATGAAATTGCTATATAGCTCATTTTTTATTTGACACAAAGATACAAATTTTCAGTTCAAAATCAGTAATGTAAAAGTTTCAAAATCTGCCAACACTTACTTAGCACATTTTTCCACTATAAAATACACATACACACATACCTGTCTTTAGCAGTATATAAATTTAGGATATGGAAATAAACATATTTGGAGTAATTTCTTTAAAATAATCAAATCTGTACACTCAATATTTTCCATAAACTATTAACAAAATATGCTCTCAAAATTCACTGAGATCAGGTAGTTACACTATTCATAATAAGTACTACAATCTACAAAAAAAATGAAGACAATGCATTTTAGATTAATGTCAAAATGGTCTTCAGTATTCATGGGTTCAGATTCTACAACCACAGATCAAGTAAACATGTATCAAAAAGAGGAGAAGAAAATGCACCTGCACAGAATGAGTACAGACCTTTCCCATCAGTACTCCCTCAACTACACAGTGGGAGGGTTATTCACACAGCAAGTCACTGCATGAAGTACTCTTATCTAGAGACAATCTGCAGCTTTTGAGAGACTATGTGCAGCATACGTGAATCCTGTGCCCTTTCACAGAATGAAACTGAGCACCTAGAGATTCTGCTAGCTTTGAGGTTCCTAAAGCCCATTCCCACAGATAGTGTGCAACAAAAATGTCTTATACTCTGGATATATTCCAACATCCAAGATATTCTGTATTTACTTCAATGTACAAAAACAAAATAATGGCTTAAACTTTGAAGCCCTAAAAGTAGACAAACTTCAGAAATTTAATCAGGTGACTGATTAAATGTTTACATTGCAAACTACTTTGGGAAATTACGGTGCCACACTCAAGAAGGGAAATCCTAAGCCCGAGGAAACACAGTAATATTTTAGTCTGCTCTTAACTACTTACCACAGCCAAGTAACTACACCTGCCTGGTTCTCGTATCTCCTTTCTCATTATTCTCTACCTGCTACAACCCGGTAATAGTTAGGCTGGTTCAGGATTAAACACAAGAAGTTTTGTTTTCAAAAGACAGTACACTGGGTTAAATTTTTGTCACCCATTTATGTATACGGAACCTAATTTCCTTAAATAAAATATAGTAAGGCCACCTCAAAATACCAGCACTGATAAAAATTAGCAAGATAAGACTACTTTTCCTAACTTTTGATAATGGTAAAGTTTTTATTATATATGCATCATTATTAACAGTAAACATCAAAGGCAATATAGGTGAAGAATTTATTCCTATTTACAATGTGATTATCTTCCAGTTTCAATATTGGGCAAAAAGTTTAAGGAATTCAGAGCTCTCTTTCTTTAAATCATTAATACCAAACAAAATTTCTTCTGACTAGGAGATATCCTGGTTACAGAATTAACTATCCAGTAAGGTATGTTTGCTATGGTAAAAAAGGATGAATATTTAATAGCACAAATAGAAAAACTATGAGGAAAAAAAAAAGCCAAAAAATCTCATCACAAGAGAATAATCAAGTGACTTATTAAGCAAAACCTCTGGCATTAAATTCTCTATATATTCAACAAATAAAATGAATCCAAACTATAATGTGAATACATTCTTATAAATATTCAGTGAGGATATTTTTTGGTAGTCAAAACAAAACAAAATGTTTTCAATACCACTCCTCAATCTCAAAAATGTTAAAATACCTGGTGGTGCTGGGAATCATCCAAGGTTTTAAAGACCATTGCAACCATTCCATGTGCTCTCAGGTGCATTCGGAAGCTGGGCATGGCACATTTAGTAGCCAAGCTAATAACACTAGAAGAAAATAAGATTGTGTTCAGGAAAGTGAAAGTAACAAGTACATTAGCTTTTAGACTGCATAATACCAAAACAAGTGAAAGGCAAGGATGTGCAGAATCACAATATAAAAACCATGAGTAGGGCCAGGCATGGTAGTGCCCACCTGTAATCTCACGCTCTGGGAGACAAAGGGAAGAGGATCACCAAGTTCAAGCCCAGTCTATGCAAGTTAGTGAGACCCTGTTTCAAAATAAAAATTTAGAAAAGGCTGGGGATATTAACTCAGTGTGAAAACCCTGGATTCAATTCCCAGTACTGCCAAAACAAAAACCAAAAATACACACACCACAAAATTTTAAGAAGTAGGGTGTCATGCTTAGTGGCACTCTTATGTCATCCCAGTTACTACTCCAAACACTAAGGCAGCAGGATGGCAAGCTGAAGGTTAGCTGTGTAATTTAGCAAAACTGTCTCAAAATTATAGACCACTTGCCTAGCATGCATGAGGTCCTAGGTTCAATCCCTAGGACAGGAGTTGGAGGGGTGGAGGAACACATGATCCCTAGTAGACTGGGAGTATATAGCTCAATAGCAGAGTATTACCATGCAAGAACTCCCAAGTTCAATCCATTGTAAAAACTATGAACAAATCTAATTATAAAAAATATACTGATGGGTAGCATGTGATTGGTTACCCTACATTTAGACAAATACATAATTATCTTCAGTACATTCCTTATATTAGCACTAACATTAAAAGTCACATCTAACTTTCACAATGCTTTTGATGCATGAAACCTGTAATTATATTAGGCTGTATATACTTCAACTGACTATGTAATTGAACCAAACCAAAATATTCAATCCATTAGAATATGCAAAAGATGACCCATATTTCAACATGCTTAAATTAATCTAATTCATCATTTGACACATGAAATTGTGAGATGAAAAAACTTAAAGATTCTTTAGCATACTATTTCTTGTTAATTTAAAGCATCTGGAAATTGAAGCCCATACTATGCTTTAAGAAAAGGTTAGTTCACTCAGCTTTCCCTCTATTATGTGGAATCCAGTCTTTTACATTTTAATATCACAGCTATATACTACTACAAAATAAAAAAAAATGCTTTTTAGACAATTCTATACCCAACTGAAAAAATTTATTTATCTAGTATGTACATAATTATAAAACATAAATACAAGGCCTTACCTAAGGCAACGTGTGTTCAGAGGCTGAGTGCTCTTTAAGCCACTTAACAAGTACTCAATGTCATCAGTGAACTCTTGATTCTCACCAAATTCCACCACATCGTTGAAGTGCTTCACATGCTGAACAACAGTATATAACTGCCAAGAAAAGAATAAGGTCATCCCTTTGTAACTAGGAACTAGCATATATAAATGTCAACTCACTGCACTTTATATAAAAGTACTGTATATACAATGGTTCACCAGATGGAAACATAAGTAGCTATAAAACATTGGCAGTGGGAACACAAGATAAATCTGTGGTTCATAGCTGTGGCTATCAGTGTACTGGTATCTGTTCATATCACATAGCTTTATGTAACATACAAAAATCTATCCACGTGCAGTAAAACTGATTATGGCTGCTTACTTCTTTGTCTTCTTTTCTGCATTTCAGTGCAGTAACTATATCTTGGTAGGGCTGAGTAGGTATTGTCACAGTTTTTATCACTTTGAGTGGTGGTGCAGGAGCCTTAAAAACTCCATCATCTTTTTGATTTGGTTCCTTTGAAGACAGCCTCACCTATTAATAAAGGTATTAAATTAGTTGTTCTAAGTAAGTATTTTAAAATAGTAACATCTTGTCTAACTGGTAAATTTAGCTTGAACAAAGTAAATAAAGTTTAAAAAGGGAAAGGGGTACAACACAGGCCTCTGAAAGGTCCTAAGAGATACTTAAAATTCCGTGCACAACTAGCTATATATGTTTTACATGCAAAAGAACCACTCAGGAATTAATTCTGTCTTTTTAAACCTTATATTTCATATAACTTGTCTCCAGGACCAGTAACAGTAAAAGAATAAAGAACCACAACTGCATGCATAAATAGCATTGATGAACAGATAATGACGGAACAGTAAAAGAACAGACAAAGGAATCCGAGAAGCACAGAAAGTTCAGGTAGTGTAGAAATAGTTATAACAAGAGCCGGGCATGGTGGCACACGCCTGTAATACCAGCATTTGGGAGGCTGAGGCAGGAAGACTGCTGCTTGTTCAAGGCCAGCGTGGGCTACATAGCTGAGTTCAAGGCCAGCCTGAACTATAGCAAAACTCTGTCTCACAAAACAAAAACATGGCCGGCGATTTGGCTCAGTGGTTCCACTGCCTGCCTCGAAAGCTTAAGGGCCTGAGATCAATCTCCAGTATCAAAAACAAAAACAAAAGAAACTGTTATAAGAACCAAGATGGATTATGTAAAGGTGCAAATTTCCAATGATGAATGTCATTATATTGTATACCTTAGATGTACCAATAAAATTAATTTTAAAAGAAAGTTTATGGTGGTGCACACTTCTAATTCTAGCATTCTAAGGCAATCAGGAAGATCTTCAGTATGAGCCCAGTCTGGTGATCTAGGGAATTAAGAGACACTTTCTTAAAAAAATAAAAAATAAAAAGAGCTGGGGATATGGTTCAGTGTGAAGGCCCTGCACTCAATCCCCAGCACAGGGGACAGGGGGTGAGGGGTGGGGATGGGACTGAGTTCAGTATAGTCAATTTAAGAGGCAACTCTACACTGTGTTGTACAAACCTATTTCTGGGGCTGGGATGTGTTGCCCCGTAGTCGAGTATTTGCCTAGCATACAAAGGGTCCTAAGTACAAAGCCCAGTAGCACATAAAAGGGAGGGGAGAGAGAAACAGAGGAGCACACTAGCACCAGGTGTGGCGGCACACGCTTGCAATCCTAGCACCTGAGAGGCTGAGGCAGGAGGGGTGAGAGTTAGAGGCCAGCCTGGGCTACACAGAGTTCAGGGTCAGCCTGAGTTACTTAAGGAAGTCTAAAAAGAGGGAAAGATAATCTCTAATCCCTATTTTTTAGGTTGTGTTATAAAGAACTCATTTTTCTAATAGCTCAAGATGACTGAGTCTTTACTGTTAACCTAATAGTCCTAATGTAGAACACTACCAATCTTCTGAAGAGAACAATTTGATAAGAATTTTTGAAAAATGTGTTTTGAGCCAGGCGTGGTGGCACATGCCTGTAATCCCAGCACTAGAGAGGCTGAGGAAGGAGGATCACTGCGAGTTCAAGACCAGCCTGGGATACATAGTGAGTTCCAGGTCAGTCTTTATAAAAAAAAAAAAAAAAAAAAAAAAAAAAAAAAAAGTGTTTTGAATTGAAAAGTTATTACTGTGATGCAGGAAGAAGTTCTCCTCTGAAAAGCAAATTAAGCCATGAAAACCACTATGAGATCTGTGCAAAATTAATTTATAATATAGTCTTTAACGGTCAACACACACTTCAAATAAGAAATATTTGCTCTTTAAATATTACACTATAAATATAGTTTTTAATAATATTTTAATTATAGTACTTTTATAAGGTTTTCATTTACAACCTAGCAGGCACAAGAAATTCTAGTGTCCTGTCCACAATCCTCACTTTTCCAGTGAATTCAACAAAAGGTACCAAGCCTTAGTGAGGAAGGCCAAAATCTACTGTTAACTAGAAAAGTCAAAGACTCACAAATTATCCATGAGGGCTGCTTAAAGTAGTTTAACTAATTAAAAAGCACAAAATAAAGACAGCCAGCTCACTTACTGTGACATTCTGAGGTTTTACAACTGGTGGCCCAGGTAGTTCTTCTGAGTCTGGATGGTTCCAATGTCTGGCATTATAAACGGCTTTTGTAGGTGACTAGAGAAATAAAACATCACAAATAAGAACTTAAATGCATAGATGTACATCCTGGACAGCAGATCGGCACTGTCTGGGTCTATTCCCATATACTCCATGCCTCTGGCAGACACAGTCACTGAGGTATTTAACCACAAGATCAGAACTCAGTGTTGTGCACAACTATAACCAACCAAGGGAAGGAGGCACTTTAAAGTAAATCACCTTCCAGGTTTGTACTAACTTAGTTATGAAAGTATTTCATTTAACATGTTTTTTGGCAAAACTGCACTGTTCATACTATTCACTCATGCTCCACAGTTTCCCAATCAGAGGTTTTGCAATTTATAAAGGTAAATGTGGTACATATACCTTACAAGACACAGCAGGGGCTAAAGGAGTATCATGTAATAATATTCATAAATTCTATAGCAAGATGTAAATATATTCATACTAGATGGGATAAAGATGTAAATTGCCTCACATTAATTCAGTTTATCCTGCTGCCAAATCAATTTATTTAAACATTAAAAAAATCAGTTTTAGCACCCTGAGCTTCATAATTGAGAATAAGTAACTGTGAACCTATAAAATTAAATCCATAGGACAAAATCTGTACAGAAGTCCAGGAATGAAATTCTCACTTTCAAAGAAAACTGTATAAATAAAGATTGACAACACAGATAAGTTAATATTTTTATCTTCTCCATGCTCTACAAAAATGATGCTATGTTACATCCTTTAAATTTCAAGATACTCTCTGATCTGACAGTCTATGAAATACAATCTTCATATTGTCACTACTATTCACAAAACATGAGAGAAAGTGGGGGGGAAACAACAAAATGTGGCTCACAACCCACATTCCCAAGATCTGCATGCGGCTGCAGAGCAGGGCTTCATTAGTAATCTAAACAATACAGGGTCTCAAGTAACTGATCAGGCTTCCTGAGGAGTTGCACAGAGTGGGCTCCACACAGGTGGAGAATGCTTGCTGGCCCAGCATATGCAAGGCCCTGGGCCCAACTGCTAGCACTGATAATAGAGTTTTAACGCTCCGGCATTATACATCTTTTTAAAAAATACAGATTCCAAGTAATAAAACAATCTTTTGGTTAATAAAAAGGTTGCCTAGTTTTTTACATAACAAAATAGCAGGGCAGCTCAAGGTTATAAATTTAAACACTAGAAGTGACCAAAATAGGTGGCACATTAAGTATTAAATATGAATGATAATTGCTATATATGTGACATTATGCCAGGCACACCTAGCACCTTCCTAAGGGACTGGAATATTGGTCCCCTCACCTTCAAGGGCCTGGGGTCCACATGGGTAAGTGACAGGAAAACACTGGTTATTAAGAAGAAAAACATGCTGGGACACACTGTTCTGGCCATCTCAAAAGCCCTTGAAGCATACAGTTACAGAGTAACTGAAAAACGTATTAAAATTTTTCATTAAATGAATGTTTTAGTGTAGCATGGTGGCACATGTCAGCACTTAGGAGGCTGAGACAGGAGGATCTCCACAAGTTCAAGGCCAGCCTGGACTACACAATGAGCTCAAGGCCAGCCTGGACTACACAGCAAGACCTCAAACAGGACTACATTTATAAGTTTTAAAGAATAACAAGTACTAAGTGAGGACAAAAATAGTAAAACCAAAAAGAGAACTTTTCATTTATTCTGTCCAGCAAGCAATAAGAATGGACTGTTTTTTAAAGTTTTTGATGTTTTACCATTTTAATGCTAATGAGTAATCAAAAAGAAAGCAGATCCAATTACAACTCTTCCCTGACCTTTGAGTTCTCACAAGGTTATAGGGCCTACTGAAGGAGAGGGAAGTTGTTGAAGACACATCTATCAAAAAACTAAATAGTACCTGTGTGTGGCACACCAACTGCACACATGCACGGAAAGAGACTTGGGGAGAGGAAGAGAAAACGAGAAAGGAAAGGAGCACTGACTGAACTCTTTACCTCATTCTAAAATAACACAAGAATTCCACATGCTCCTAAATGAACTGTGTATGTGAAGCATGCAACATGGACCTACTTTCTCTAAGCTAAGTCATGACCTTGTATGATATTGCTAAAAACACCATGCAGCAATGGACTTTCCATGAAAAGCCAAAATCACCCAGTTTACAATCAAGCTAAGCTCTCACTGGTTCATTCTGACTGCACCACAGGCTTGTCTTAAATCTTGCTAACTTTATTCAGGTTTAAAAAAACAGATATACAGCATATTCCAGATTTCCTGACTTTTCTTTGTTAAAGAATCTATGGATTCTGTTTGTGTTCCAAGCTGAGAAGAATGCTAGGAAAGAAGCAGGAAGCTCCTACAAACATGTAACATTCTAAAGATCTGGAGCCATTTTAGCATATTCAGTATTAGTTTGCAGTACTAGGGATTGAATACAGACCTCACACTCAGCTACGTCCCTAGCCCTTTTGATTGATTCATTTGTTTATTTATTTAGTGGTACAGGGTATCAAACTCAGGACCTTGTGCTTGTGAGGCAGGCGCAGAGCCAATGAGCTAACTCCCCAGCCCTTTTTTTTGTTTGTTTGTTTGTTTTTTTTGAGACAAGGTCATGCTAAATTGCTCAGCTAGGCTCAAACTTTCACTTCTGCCTGAGCCCCCAGAATGCTGGGATTACAGGCATGCACAACCATGCCCTGCTAGTCCTAGCAATCCTAAATATCCTATATTCTTTCCTATTCAAGTCTTTAAGAGTATGACAAACAAAATGAATTTCAAACAAATAAAGTAACACTCCATTACAGCTGATGAAAAATAACCTAATGAAAGACCTATGGGAGGGGCACATTTATCCATGAGACATTCTCTAGCTTCTATGAATACAATAGGTAAAACTTGGTTTTTATAATCAGTGTCAAGACTGCGATTTGCAGGTTGGTTCACTGAATTACAATTATGAACCAGAAGAAAGAAGAGTTCCTTCCTGAAAAGCTAAAAAGAAATGACAAGATTATGCTATTTTCCATTGAGCTGGTTCTTAAAGGGAAAAAAACTGGCATAACTGTTTTTAAATCATATGAATTTTCTTTGACAACAGGACCAAATGTATGCGTTTTAAAGAATAACATGTACTAAGTGAGAACAAAAATAGTAAGCTGATCCAGAATTCAGCCAGCCTTATCCACACGAAGATTTCAGGAAATCAGAATGCAAATGCACTACCACCAGCTATCCACAGGCACGTGGTCCGGCTGATGAACTCCAAGAAAAACCATGCTGCCAAGCATAGCAAGTCAGTGTAATGCAGCAGGTGAGGAACAAAATCTGAATTGGTCTTTCCTTTGGAAAAATCTTGAAGGACTTTTATAAAAGATGGGTGGTAAAAGCAGAGCAAATTACAAAAGAGGAAACTTAAGATTATCTTTTAGCTCTTTAAAATTTCCTTTGAAGGATAATCATATCTCAAATTGCCCCAAACTACAAAAGAAAAAAATGTACTAAAATATTCAGAATATTAAATTACTGGCCAACTTCATGAGACCCTGTCTCAAAATAACACAAAGAACTGGGACTGTAGTTCAGTATGAGGCCCTAGGTTCAATCCCCCGTACCACAAAGACGGGTGGGATGTTACATACTTGAAATCTGCTAATGAGAGAGCTTAAGTTTGCTAACTACCGAAACACATACACATAAAAGAAACTGTGAGGTGATGGGTATGAGAAAAAGCCCGATGCTGGTAACTAGTACACACACATTTCTATCAAAACTTACGAATTTTGTATGAATGAAATTTTTATCTATTATACTTCTTCAGTAAAGCCAGGGGAGAAAAAGCAGGATTCGTGACTTTATACTGACAAGATAAATAAAAAGTGCAGCGTCACGCTTACAATAGAACTTCAAGGGACTGGTGAGTGGAGGAAGTACAAGTGTTGGAACATTACCACTTTACAACCAAAGTAGCATGCACTGGATGAGAAAAAGATCAACATGCACACACCAAATCTAAGCCCGAGTTCTAATGAAGAACAAAACATCAGAACAGTCTTAGTCTCTCACAGATGACTTTTGAGTTGCAAAGAAGAAAAAACTGATTACACAGTGAAGAAATGAGCAATGCCTGACACCCCCAATTGCAGTGCTCTGGAAAAGACATATCATCACCTTTGTTACACCAGTGCAAGGCACATTCTGCACACAGTCACAGCAAAGTATCAGAAGAGCTGAAGCAAGAGCCCTTCTGGAAGGGGCCAAAGATAGTGTCAATTAAGACAGATGAGAGGCTGTAGAAAAGCTGCAGGAAAAAGGATTATAATTTGGAGAAGAGAGAACGAATTTCATCTCATTCTCTTCTATTCTATTCTCTACTGTTAAAAACAGTTTTCTCATTTATTTTCAGCCTGGTTCTACCAAATTTATTTGTGTACCTTCTGAAATATATTTATATGGGATAGTATAAAAACAAACATGAATGAATATAACCATATTTCTAACTGGTAAGGAACTTCAGACAAGTTAATTTAAAAGTAAGGCTAGAGGGTCAGGGATTTAGCTCAGTGGTGGCACCGGCTACCTCACAAACACAAGGTCCCAAGTTCGATTCCCGTTACTCTCCATCCCCGAAAAAAGTAAAGCTAGAAGAGAAGCAAACAAACCAATGACAATGGCTTGTTTAGTTCTACAGGTAATCATCACAATCTTACGTCCTTGTAAAGAAACTGTATTTCTAGATCACACAGTGATTATCTTGTCAAGTCAAAGTTCCAGGACATAAAGCACAGTAATTATCTTGACAACACACACATGAATGTAGGGCTTCTACTTCTGGCTGAGATGGGAGTAGCAGAAACCACTTGAATCTAACAATAGCAGACAAAAACTTTGTCATGGTTTTCAGGCCCAGAACTGCAGGTGGCATTGCACAATGACCCCTAAGAGAGGAAAAGAACTAAGGCAGGTCTTGTACACTGCCAGGGAACAACACAAGGAAGAAGAACTCAAAGGTGAACAAGAGCAGTCTCTCAGATGAGGAA